TCTTTCTTTCTTTCTTTCTTTCTTTCTTTCTTTCTTTCTTTCTTTCTCTCTCTCTCTCTCTCTCTCTCTCTCTCTCATGTTTGCCATCACCCCGATTCTACAGGAACTCCTCCTCCAGAGTCAAAGCACCAGCATTGCATCCGGGAGTCCCTGGCAATGGAACTGGATTGGCGGGCAGAGTTCACCAAGTCAGAATGGTCACGTGCTACCATCCATTCTGATTGCTGGGTTTCGCTGCCCCCGCCACCACACAGAGATTGGGAGAATCGTGTCTTATTAAGGATTGTGGTGTGCAGAAAATCTAAAGTTTTGTCTGATGCGTTTTGTGCTGATGTGCTTCCCCTGCTTGCACCGCGTGGACAGGACAAAGTGAAATGTTGAGACTCTGTTGCCTGTTGAGCGGTTCGGGTCGCTATAATTTTGCAGCACAAAGGCGTCAACTTTCCATGGAAGGTCCACATCAAAGGGCACGAAACCTACACCTACCGTTCCCTCTGCTTCTTCATTGGTCGAGGATTGGTGAGATGTTGCATGGCGGTCATCTCACGCTATGCCTTGGATGACTTCTTGAAGTGCGCGGCTGAAGGAAAAGCCAGCCGATCTGGCTCTGGTGAGAAGTTCCAAAGTGCTTTCCTGGTGAATCAGGTGATGCAAGCCTTCTCTACGAACCAACGGCAAACTGTTTGTCCTTTAGCAGTAAGTCACAAATTCCCCATTTGCCATTTGAACGCTTAAGGAACATCATCGTCATCATCATCATCTCCTTCATCCAAACACTCGAAGCGATGTCCTACTGGATGTACAAAATGGCTTTACAAGGAGTGCAAATATTCGCCCCACCCACAGCAAACCGCGGCTCCTTCTGCTCAGATTCTCTCGCTTCTTTGCTTGACTTCAAAAGCCGTAGCTCTAAGCGCTCCAAGCCTCAGAAGTGTCGCCCAAGTAAGACCAATGTCACCATAGGAACAATGTTCGCTACTAGGGGCTCCAGGCCTTACTACTAGTAGCAAGGACGCTACTAGGGGCTCCTGGCCGTACTACTAGGAAGAAGAAGCTACTAGGGGGTTTGGGATCGCTACTAGGAGGAAGGATAGCTCGGCAGAATCCCACGATCTGTTGACATGCAACTGGCTGGAACAAGAATGTACGCAGCCTGCACAGCCAGCTTACGGCACCTCCACAGCGCGCACAACCAGCTGCCACCAGCACCGGCGCGCTTTGCCAGCTGACAACACCGGCAGCGGCACCAGCACCCGACCAGCGCCGCCACCCGTCTTAAGCGCGCGCTCAGCCAGCTCACAGCACCAGCACCTAGGACCACAACACCAGCACCAGCACCGACACCCTTTCGAAAGCGTGCGCAGCTCATTCTTATTGGCAGTAAGAACCCCATAGCTATCCCTGTTTGGGGAAAAACAACGTATGATCTTGCGCGTATAAGTTTCATTATGCGCGCAAAAAGTATACGCGCAAACAGCAAAGCCCGTAAGTGTCATTGGCCCAAGGCCAAGCACTATCCAGCGCCACTATATTGACTTTGTAGCATGCTTGAAGCAACGATCTGTAGAACGATATATAAGGCCGTATGATCTTGCACGTATAAGTTTATGCGCACAAAAGTATGCGCACAAACGGCAAAGCCCGTAGGCTTCACTCGCCCAAGGCCAAGGAGTATCCAGCACACGACTATTGTGTGTGTAGCACGCTGAAGCAGGCTGAAACAATGGTCGGTTGAGAGCCTGACGTTGCGCCAAGAACATTATGTACAAAAGTATGCGCGCAAACAGTACGGCGCTTGACACAGCTGAGTGTAAATACCCCACAGCGCTGATAGACAAAGAACGCTCGAGCGACCACACCGTATGACGTTGCGTGCGTAAGTTCACGCGGCCCATGACTGCTGGCACTTCGGCAGCTACAAGCGGCGGCTTGCCAGCCTTCACTGTCAGAAGCGGGCACCAGCACCGAGCACCGGCACGCCAGCTCACGGCACCCAGCACCAGCACCCGGCACCCAGCACCCGGCACCCTGTCTCCACCACGTGCACAGCCAGCACCCAGCACCGGCACCCAGTCTCCACCACGCCCACTGCCAGATCACAGCACCGGCAACCTGTCTCCACCACAGCCAGCTCACAGCGCCAGCACCAGCCCAGCACCAGCACCGACAGCCAGCTCACAGCACCAGCACCAGCACTGGCACCGGGCACCCAGCACCACCACCGGCACCTCCACCACGTGCACAGCCAGCTCACAGCACCAGCACCCAGCACCCGGCACCCAGCACCAGCAACCTGTCTCCACCATGCGCACAGCCAGCTCACAGCACCAGCACCAGCACCGGCGCCCAGCACCTAGCACCAGCACCAGCAACCTGTCTCCACCACGCGCACGGCCAGCTCACAGCACCAGCACCGGCGCCCGGCGCCCAGCACCAGCACCAGCAACCTGTCTCGAAAGCGCGCACGGGCAACTCATGGTTATTTGAAGTAAGCACCCTGTTGGTTTAATTGTCTTTCATTTTTTTCCAACCGATGGACGCTACTAGAGTCATGTCGCGTCATCCATGGCGGGCCCTAAGTGCAAGTTTCACGACATCCATTGGTACACATCGATACCGTTGGTACTCTCTGGCCCAAGGGCCCCCCTATCCGTATGTAGAAAGGTGGTCGCTGCCTTGCACTTGCATGGTAGCGGAGCCTCACCCCAGCCACACTGGCGGAACTTCGCGACATGTGCTCCAGGCGAGGGATCAGCCTGCCGGCCAAACCTCGTGTGGGAGAAACGCGGGTCGAGTTGAAGTCGGAGACCGTGTACAAGCTCGGGGGACGATGCAACGGCATGACCTTCCAGGAGATCGCCTTGTCGGATCCGGGGTACCTGAATTGGGCCAAAACAGAAGTCCAGAAGAAGGACGGACAACAGTCATTGGCAACTTCGGCAACTAGCCCTGTGGGCAGAGAAGATGGACAAGGACGAGATGAACACAACTCCCCGACAGACCAAGACGCTGCAGGAGACACTCACCATGAAGGGCACTCCCAACAAGAAGAGTGGATACCCAACAGAAATGGATCAACAACCGCCTGTGACATCCATGAAGACACCAGGTCTTCCCTGTCTCCCGAGATGGCAGAGATGACCGAGGTGATGCGCTCACTGGCCATGACGGTGGGGACACTCCAGCGCAACGTGGAAGAACTGCAGCAGGAGAAATCTCGCAAGACACGCAGTTCTGCAAGTCGTTCCACGGACGGCTTCGAGAAGGTGGAACACCATGCGGACGCGCAATGAGTGAGTGTGCCACGCCACTTCCGGATAGCAAATATTATTTGAAGGACCAGAGTGAACAGCTCATCCCTCAGGCCTGGAAGGCCTTGATTGAGCACTCTCAGGACCGACTGTTTTTGATCGAAGTGGCATGCTCGACCGACTCGGCGCTGGCAAAAGAAGCTATGCGCAAGGGGTTGAAAGCCGAACGACTTTCGATTTGGAATGGGCATGACTTGTCCACGGGAGAGGGGGTTCGCAAAACGATCAAAACGCTTGAGCAAAAGAAACCTTTTTTTGTTGGATCGCCACCGAATGTGGAGCGTTCAGTCCGATGCAAAACTGCAATCAACGGACGGAAGAACAAGTGGAACAATTGAAACAAAAACAAACGGACGCTCGGAAACAACACATTGGTGGATTGTTGGTGGCTGAAGCAGCCGCACACTTAGGCATCATCGTGATTTGGGAGTGGAGTCGTCGTTGCCGTGCATGGAAATGGGAACCCATGGACAATTGGCGGAACAAACATCAAACGTCGACCGCCATCATTTCACCAAAACTGGTAGGAAGATTGGAAAGGAGTGGAGGCTTGAGGTGACACATGAAAACTGGCTAGGCTGTTACACAACACACGCAAGTGCCAACCACATGAGTTACCACATGCTGTTTGTGAGGGTTCTGTCACGAGGAAAACGGCCTTTAGACGGAAGAGTTCGCTAGAAGAGCTATTCACCACATGTCACACTTGTTTTCCATGAGCGATGTTCAGTGTTGGGTTCAGGATGGACGACCGGACATGGATCGACCGAGCCGTATCGAAACGTCGTGTGAGTGTCGCAAGGTTCAGGTTTGGAACAAAGAATTGCGCTGTTTTCGGTGCATGTTGGGTGAACAGGGAACCATTTTTGTGGGTGAGCACAAAGAACTGGTTTTGGGAGACTTGAACTCGGAAGAACAAGAGTTGGTTAAACAGGTGGGCGCCAGAGAGAGGGAGAAAATCATGAGCCACATCTCACTGATCCATAGTTCAACCGGACACGGTAGCTATCACCTTTTGGTTTAGGCCCTCCATAAACACAAAGCTTCACCCTTGGTGTTGGCTTTGGCCAAGTCGTACCGACGCAGCGCTTGTGAAGAACGGAAACGACCTGATCCTCGCAAGCGAGCGAACCTCCATGCGCACACAGACCGATGGCGAAGCGTCCAAGTGGACGCTGCTTTTTGGAGAGATCCGAGAACGAAGAAACAATACCAGTTTGTAGTGATTTTGGATGAAGCAAGTAGATTCAATTCATGGTCACAGCCCTGTCAAACAACAGGAAAAGAGTGATCCTTCCATCAGAGTACATACAAGTTTTTGATCAACGCTGGAAACCCTATTTTGGAATTCCGGATGTGGTTCCAACAGGAAATCATCCCTGCAGAAGCACATTGGAACCTTTCACATGTGGAGCGTAGCATTGGGTGGTTGAAAGAACTGTTGAACAAACTGGTAGGGGAGACGGACGACTCCAGTGTGGAACAACTCTTGGCACAAGCAACTTATGTTTGGAACCAGCATGAAAATGTTCGGGGTTACAGTCCATTTGAACATGCTCTCGGCAGAACACCAGACTCGGAGGGACGACTCTTCGACAATCGAGTCCATGACCTTCCGATGGAGATGATGCAAAATCCAGATGGCGAACATGAAAGCGCTGTCCAACTCAGAGCCAGTGCTGCCAAGGTATTCATCGATTGGCAACTACAGGAAAAACTCACTCGCGCTCGCAATTCCAGAAAATACCAACCCAAGGCGGTCACCCCCGGAGACTTGGTCTTTTACTGGCGCACCACAGTCCCAGCCAATGAGAACCACTCCTGGAATCAAGGCGTGTACCTCGGACCGGCGCGGGTGTTGGCAGTAGAGACCAAAAGAGACAAGGACCACCGCCTCCATCCTAGCAATGTTGCGTGGCTAGTAAGGGGCACCAAACTGATCAAGGTAGCACTAGAGCAGGTGAGACATGCATCGGCGCGTGAAGCCAGTCTACATGAGTTGAACAAACCATTACAACTACCTTGGACCTTCACGGGCATAGCAGCTGACCTACAAAAAGGAGAATACTATGATCATACTGGTGTGGGGCCAACCTCATCACAAAGCTCGTCAGTGGAACCACAGGAGGAACAACCAACTGACCATCCCACAGGTCAGAGACGCTATGATACGAAGAGAGAAGCAGTGACAGATCCGGCCCCAGACTTGACAGGACCATCGTGGATGTGGACAGTGACTATACTCCTTCCCTGCCACCATCAGACATTGAGGCAGGTGAGACACGAACATCGCCTTCAAACCGGAGGACAAGGGGTAGAAGTCGCAGTCGTCAAAGGGTACCAATGCCATCAGGCACACATTGCATAGACGAAGTACAAAGTGGATTCTGGCAAGAAGAGGTGTGCAGTTTCTGGAATACCTCCTCAACCGCTGCAGTGGAAATAGAAGTGGAATTACCAACACAACACCGGAATTGGGAAAAGTTCTTCAAGAAAAGCCAGGCCTTCTTCATCAGCGCTCTCAAACGACGAAGCATTGAAGTGTCAGAACGCAGAATGTCAGCTGAAGAACATGAACAATTCAGTGGTGCGAAACAAGCTGAGGTGGACAAATTTGTAGCGGCAGAAGCGTTGCAAGCACTTCCACCACATCTACGTCCAAACCGTTCCCAGGCTTTGAGAATGCGCTGGGTATCGACATGGAAAAAGAAAGAAGATGGCACGCTCAAACCAAAAGCAAGAGCAGTAGTAGTGTTGGGGTTCCTCGACCCTGATTATGCCAATAGGCCTACATTTGCGCCTACTATGACAAGACAGAGTCGACAAGTGCCATTACAATGGGCAGCCAATCACAAAGCCCTTGTTCACAAGACAAGGGAGATGTATCTGCAGCTTTTCTTCAGGGGAGAGAATTTGAAAGGGAGCTCTACCTCATTCCAACACAAGAAATATACCGAGCTACGCATTTACCAGCAGAAAGCATCGTGAAAATGCGAAAAGCTTGCCATGGTTTGGTCGAAGCACCAATAGAATGGTTTGAGACGATGAACAGCTTCTTGCAAACACAAGGATTTGAGCAACTCAAGTCCGACCCCTGCTGTTGGAGATTGCGAGACGCAGGTCATCAGACCATCGCCTTGGTGTCAGGACACGTGGACGACTTCATGTTCTGTGGCCTACCAAACAACCAACAGTGGCTAGAAGCAAAAACCCAAATCCAAAAACGGTTCGCCTGGGGCGAATGGGGGACTGGAGATTTCATCCAGTGTGGTGTACGAGTACAAGCACAAGAAGACGGCAGTTTCCATCTAGATCAGGTACAATACCTAGAAGAAGTACAGCCAATCAATGTGTCCAAGAATCGCCGTCGTACTCCAAAGGAGGAAACGACGCCCCAAGAGAAAACAGAACTGAGAGGTCTTTTGGGCGCACTCAGCGCTGGCATACCAATCAAATTGGTTATCGGTTTGCGGCTTACACGAGCTTGTTCCTTTCGGAAGTCAACAAAAGTACTGTGGAAACCCTGTTAGATGTGAACCAGTTGTTGAACAAAGTCAAGTGATCTTCTCATGAACCGTTGAAAATACTTCCTTTTGCCGGGACATGAGAAACCACAATTGTACTGTTGGACGGACGCTAGCTCACAAAACAGGCACGATGGAGGTAGCACGAAAGGGATTTTTGTGGCCATGTCTGGGGTTAGGTTGGAACATGGTGAAATTGACAAGGTTTCCCCCTGGCTTTGGCAAAGTGGAAAAATTGATCGGGTTTGCCGGTCACCGGGATCAGCAGAGGCCAGAGCGGCCGTGGACGGGGATGACATTCTGCACATGCTTAGATTTCAATGGGGTGAAGTCATGGGGCATGAAGCGAATGTTCACGATATCGATTCACATGTGTCGAAAGTCGGTGGCGTGCTCATCACAGACAGTAGAAACGTCTACGATCGTGTTGAGAAACCTTATGTGACCCTCAAAGGTGCTCAACGTAGGGTGGACCTTGAACTTTTGGCGACACTTGAGAGTTCGGTGGGTGAGTTCTCAGGCGATGTTAGCGAACACGTTAACTAAAAGGGGTGAAGATATGCAAATGGGGAGATTTGTTCAATTGGGACAGAGATGGAGAGTTGTTGAGGATCAGGAGATGTTTTCGGGTAGGAAACGAGCTCAGATGGGGAAGTCCGTTCTCGACTGAATCCCGAAAGCGATGCGTCTCGTAAGACCTCACTTCTTTTCTGATCACCCAGGTTCATCAGAGCCGGGCTTGCAAGTTTCACGACATCCATCGGTACACATCGATACCGTTGGCACTCTCTGGCCCAAGGGCCCCCCCTATCCGTATGTAGAAAGGTGGTCGCTGCCTTGCACTTGCACTAAGTGCCCCTAGTGATGTTGGGCGTCCACACTAGACATCCATTGCGGCGCGCGCTCCTTGCAGAGGTTGGCGAATCGCTCCTGAGGCGAACCGCTACAGAGGATCTGCTAACACCAAACGGCCTTTTGGCCTTTCAATGTCTCACGCGCTTTGAGGGGAAAAGTATGTCAAAGGTCAAAGTCAAACCGTAATAACCTGTGTACTGGTACGCGATCGTACCAACCAGTCTCCCTCTGAACACATTCTTCTCAAAGTGCAGATGTTGACTGAGGATGACACCTCCAGGCACCCAGCAGCATCGGGGCCACAAAGGATGGACGGTGGCAGGGAATCATCAACTGGCAAAGTGAAGCAGCATAAACTTAAACAACCATGAAACGATGGAGCAGCGCAAGGAGTTGAGTAAAGATAGTAAAGCTAAACGAAATCCGTGATTCTTCATCCTTTCATCGAGTTCGTTTGTGTTTCTTCGTTTTTCATGGCCAACCCATCCTTCAATTTTCTCAGAACTCTTCCAAGCATACCAGAGTATCTTTTCTGTGTCTGTGAGGTGTCGGGTGTCACTTCGCTGGGTTCCATGTGAGATCCAGGAAACAAGCAGTCTCCCTACCTCCTGCACTGACGTTGGAGGCAGCAGCACCAACCAGCACAGTACGAGAAAGCTTGGGGTCGAACCTGGCAAGCGACGCAGAATCCTGGACCCAGGAGTGGGAGTTTGCAGTATAGGACGGCACAAAAGATCTCACTTCAGATTCTAGATCTCACTTCCGCTGCCTCTTGCAGAGCTCAAGTGGCGGACCAGGTTCCAAGCAAACGAGGAGGTTGGCATTGGAACCCACGTGCTTCACACGCATCTCCTGTCGAGGCCCAGGATGCTTCGTTGAGGCAATCCAGTCGGACTAGATGCTGGCAAAGGCTGTGCACTCGTTCGAACCCCAAAAGGTGAGATGATGTTGTCTCTGTGTGTTGGTGCTCAAAGGAAATTCACTAAAGCCCTTCGTGATCAGATCGAATCCTCTCTCTTGGTCACCGGAGTCTAAATGCTTGAGTTCTGTCCGATATTCCCTGCTTGTTTTCTTTGTTTCTAATGGCGATGGCCTCCATCCTACTAGCAATGGCCTCCAACCTAAGAGCAATGGCCTCCATCCTACTAGCGATGGCCTCCATGCTTCTACAGGTACATCATACTGCCATGTCAAGGAAGCAAGCATCAGACACCTCATCCAAAATCAGAATCTTCAGCTGGCGCACCTCGATCTTCAACGGGACATCAACCAAGTGGCTGTTGCTGCATTTTTCGGGCAAGTCGATGACGTCCAAGTTGGTGCAGCCTGCCAACAATCTGCACTTCGATTTCGCAAGCAGTGGACTGCCACAAAGGATCATACTCGGTCGAGCTACAGTGCAAACGGTGTTTGCCTGTGTGGGAATAAAATCAAATTGTAGACTATAAGGGTCTTCTATAAGGGTGGACTTTCATAGAAATGTGGTTTGGCTCAGTTCTAGTAAAGACTCAACTATATACCTTCACAGAAGTAGTGAAGGTGAGCAATCGGAACGCCACAAGAACAAGATCTGATGGCACCTGCTGCAGACAGCCGAAGGCGCAGGGAGTCCAGCTTCAAACGCTGGCCAAGAGCCTGCGGGTCCACTGGAGAGACCTACCAGCCCTTCATGAACAACGCTGGAGTTGCAGGGCACACTGTTGCTTGAAAGGGGAAAAGAAAAAAAAACAAGTTCAAGTACTGGTAGTGGCATCGGCGTATCCCTTGCCTGTTGTGTTGCATTCTGCACGCCACGCAGCCAAAATTCAGCCTCTGGTGCCTCCCAATCAAGCTGCATGTTCGGAGAAGGTGATCCACAAACTGACTTCTCTGCCTCTTGCTTCAAAAGTCGAGTACGACAATTGCTTTTTGGAGGTTGGAGGCCATCGCATCTGATGTGAAAAAAAAGGGACTAGAACGGTCTCCCTCACACCCTCACACCTGCGGAGAGCCAAGCTCCGCGCTGCTGCACCTGCAAATTTGAGCTTTCAATGGTCTCAGTTGCTTCAAAGATGTGACACACAGCAAGCAGCTGTAGCGAATTGTTCAGCAAGCAGCTTGTCTTGCAAATGGCATGTTCTGGTGTCGGCATGATCACATCTGCACCATGAAGCTTTTGTGATTGCCTCGGGTCCTTCTACAGTCGATTCTGCAACAAAACAAACTTTTGGAATCACCAATTAGGTTTTGCACAACAGAACACCTTAATTCAAGAGCTATTGGCTGCCGCATGCCCGGCTGCACCAGGACCTGCCGAGGTTTCGATCAAGCAACAGTGGCAATTTCTGGAAGCTCGGATTCATCCTAGCAACCAGTGCAAAATGCAGAACAGAAACTCCACACACTGATCCCATGTAATTGCGACCATCCAACTTCACAAGTTCTGACCAAACTTTATATAACTCAAGAACGATCAATGAATCAATAGCAAAAAGGATTGCCCTTTCTCTATCTCTTCGGCTTGACTTCAGAAATCTTTGGGGACGCAAATACCTTTTCGTCCCCTTCCGTTCCGCGCCGCAGCGGCAGCTTGTGCCACAGCAGTCTCACCCAGCAAGGCCGCCACTAGCTCCCGGCCTTGGGCAAAACCGGTCCAAGGTGTTGCAGCTGTGGCAGCAGATCTCTTCCTTTTTGACAAACTGATCTATCACACTGCTCTATGGCACGTTCAAAGAAAGCGGTTCTTTGGTTGCGAGTTGCAGTGCAGCCTGTTACCTTGATGGCCTGGCTGCAATGGCACCTGGATCTACAATTCTGCAAGCTTAGAACTGCTGATTTGAGCTTGATGGATGTAGTCATCTTGTATATGATGTAATGCCCAAACAAATAGACTCAATCTAAACGCAACCATGCTGTTGAATTCCTCGGGCCCTGGTTCCCCGTCAATCCATGAGTTTCACAAATTGCTTTTTTGCATTTATTTGTGCTGAGGGGATGTGGCACACATTTATCTAGACCATTGCCTACAGGCCTACAGATTGGCATGATCGCTATGCTTGGGACTTCAGAAGGCAAGATGACATCATGCTCATTGAAAAACGTGGAAATGCAACTTGTTACGGGATTGAAAATGACTGAGGCTCTTGGGCTAATCTGCAACTCCTTTGGGGCTCCAGGCGTGCAGAGATGCCGCCCAGTAAGACGCAGTTGGGGAAGCGATCCAAGAGCTCCCGGACCTCAGACTGATGAACCGCATGGGTGGCGTGAAAACGTGTGAAACGATTTGCTTTGGTAGAGCCACCTTGTGAATCCGATCTTCAACTGAGTATCAAGAAAGTCGTCCTCACGTGTCTTTGATGCAACAAGTATCAGATATCCAGAGGGGCCCGAGAAGAAGGTAAATGCTCCTAGATGCTCCAAGGTTCAGGAAGAACACATTGAGGCGCGCCTTCGTTTTTTTTCTGTGGCACCCTATGGCACCTTGCGTTTGTGTGTCTGGGTAGGGCCGGGTAGGGCCAAACGGAACATTAACGTCCTCCACCCTAGTAGCTTCTTGTTACTAGTAGCGATGGCCTCCAACCTGCTTGCGATGGCCTCCACCCTAGTAGCGTCCTTAGTAAATGTTGTTCATGTTTGATCTGTGGATTTACATAAGCCAAGATGGCCAAGAGCCTTTTGAATGAAATCCTGGTCCCAAGGAGCAGGAAAACCGAAGAAGGTTCCCTCCATCGCCAAGTTGCCCCTTCAACATCGCAAATGGTTTCCAGCTGCGTTCTAACTTCACCTTGCAAAGCTTAGGGCCAAAGGGACCGCCATCCTCAAGTGTCCATAAACAAGGGTCTTACGAACAAAACAGCAAACAAGTTGATTGCTCAGAAACTTTTGTTTGACCTCTGCAATCATCTGCAATCTTAAGTTCCTTCTTGGGAAATTGACCAACATTGGTACTTCTGATGGGAAGAAGGAAGACCTGTTCAATGCCCAACTCTACTGAGGTCATTCAAGTTCCTCAAGGAACAACTGTAAGACGATGAACTCTCAATGAACAGTCAGTGGTTTGGGCAATGTGGCATACCTTCGTTTGAGGCATTCTCTTCAAATCTGCCATGGAACTCAATGCCCAAGCAATGCCACCAGTGTTGGTTCGGCGGGGTCGCTTCACCTGTTCGTCATGACTCACATGCAAGGTCTATTTACAGAAGCGGTCAGTGTCTTTCCAAAGAGGCACTCAATTGTACTCTCAGAAAATATACTTAACTGGCACAGCAAAAACAAAGAATGCCAACTGCACTTTGTTGCTGGATTGCGTTGGAGAAGAGTTCGAGGATGTTCGACGAACCAAAGAGATGGAGGCTCAAGTTGTGTCTCCGACCCTTCCGGGCCTTGGGTTCTGGCACCATGGTGGAGATGGCCCGCGCGGGTGATGCGAAGAAGTTGCTGGGAGTTGATGGAGCTGGACCTGGGCGGAGCCCAAAAGAGAAAAGAAGAGAAGGTTAAAGTAAAAAGAATTGATAATGAATCAATGAGAATATAGACACGTGAATGGAGCCTTGACCAGAGATAAAATATGGAAGCCTTACTAAAGGGGCCTCACCTTCTTTTGCTCATCTCTTGCTCTGGAGACTCAGAAGGCTCCTTTAAGCTCCTCCCAAGGCAAAATCCTGGACGTGTGTAGACAGTATCTGTCTCACTCCCTCCGGACCGAACACATCCGAACACCAAAAACAGACTCGTTGGAAGACATGTAGATGAAGAGCCTCAACCTGTTAAGGGAGGCCATTGCTACTAGGGTGGAGGCCATCGCTATTAGGTTGGAAGAGCCTCAACCTGTTTTCGCATTGGTCTTTGGAAGCTCACAGGTTCGCTTCATTGCCAAATCTGCTGTGACATGTGAAGCCAAGCTACTCTCGGCCACGCGCTTCTCCAAGCGACGGGGATTCGCTTCCTTTACTTCCTTCTTCACCTGCGGACGGGTCGATCTATTGGAGTTTTGGAGCAAGCTGCGTCAAGAACGCTCAACGAAGGGAAGATGCTGAACACCTCTTTTCACGGAGGCAAGTGTTCTGCTTCAAACAGCCCCTCCACCATCCTCCACCCACTGCACAAAATATCTCCGGAGACAAACTCAATCGTGGGGTCATTGGCAAAAGAGTGGGAGGATAGTGAGACACAGGGGAGACGAGGCGCGAAAGACATACCAGCAAATCTATTCAAAGAATGAATCAAATCTGACATCTGCCTACTTGGCTTGGTCAGTACCTCAAATATGCCCAGCACTTCATGCAATGCCTTCTTCTGCGGTTGCGCACTGGATTCTCCTGGTCAAAATGAAGGAACGGCTTCGATTCAATGCAAGTGCAACATTGCGAAGCAACCGCAAAGGAGAACAAAAGCTTCAAGGTCTGCGGTTCCACAAATAACACGAGTACTCTGGGACAGGTGCTCTCCCTGGCCTGGCTGTGGTGTCACTGCTTCCCTTGCACGACCCCTGGCCTTGCGGTGTAGGTCAGCGATTGAAATGTGGCAAATCTCTAGAAAGAGGAAATTTGCCTTCTTCAATGGAACCTTCCATAATGGGATTGTTAGACATTGTTGGTATTGACTGCACAAATCGCACAATGGTACACACCCATTGTCTTTGGCTATAATTGTCATGTACGGGCATTGATTTTGTTGTTTCATCCCGAAGAAGTCTTTGTGCGAAGGAGTTGCTACCTCTGCATCTTTGGCACTTTCCTGCTGCGCAAGTGATTCGCACTTTCCCTCAGAAAAAAAAAGGCTATGTTGCACCGAAACAACATGATGCAACATGATGGAACGCCCAAACGACGCAGGACTGGATGGGCACTGTCCAACTGACCAAGGAGTCATGCCCAAACTGCATTGCTTCCTGCACTACTCTCTATCTGTCCTGGCCGTGTTGATCACCGCGCTTGCCCATAGCGAATCCGAAGCACAAATCGAACAAGCTTATCTAACCTGTGTCAGAGCATTGTCCTACGAATTTCAGACTTGCCTGCACGCTGTCCTAAAGCCTGCAAACATTGTTTGCACTTCAAAGTGCTTGGATGTAGTTGGGTCCAGAGATCTCAGTTGCTTTTGTGATTTCAGGCTACAGCACTTGCCTGTAGCTAGGAAGCAGCCGCATGTGTTGTTGTATTGTGCATGTTATGCTGCTCTTCCATGCTGAGCCAAGAAGCCTCAATCAACATCCTATTGACATTGGGCCTCCTGAACATGCGTCCAGGTCATTGCAGGAGGTGCTACTCCGTCGCCCCCCCAACAAAGTGGCTGATGCTCAGGCGTAATATATAGTCAAGAACAGAAATCGCAAATCCTTCTTTTGCACAACGATGTTCGAAAGGCAGTTGTTGTGCTGAACAAAATCCACTCAGGCATTGCGCTGCTCAAAGGGTCCAGAAGGATTTTACAGACCGCTGCCTGCGCCGGAGTAGGAGCCGTAGAAGAAGACAGCGAGGAT